GGTGTGTGCTGCCCCCGCGCCCCTGCCTGTGGCCCTGGCCGCTTGAGGCTGGGGCGGCCTCTAACATGGAGACCCTGTCGAGGTACCTCACTCTCTCTTGGACAGAATGAACTTTTTTTTTTTTTTTAAGACTGTATTCTTTCCTGCCTCGTCTTGCACTCTGCATTAAGTGGCATTCTTTCATAACGGGATATCTTCCAGATCATGAGCCAACTCTCTCTCCTGAAACTGTCTTCCCATGTTCAGGGTGGGGTCTAGGATGTCACCTACGGTACCGGTCCCTGGACAAGGATGGCGATGGGACTCACGGAGGCCAAAGTCTCTCCCTGAGAATAAAAAATTGGAAGCAAAGAGGCGCCAGTCCCTGGAACACGTGTTGTGGAGTGGCCATCTTCCACGGCGGGGGCTGGAGAGCAGAGGGAGCGGGTCTGCGGAGGGGAAGGATGGAGAGAGGCCCGCTGGGAGGCAGCAGAGGCGAGAACAAGACAAGCTCCTGGTGGCCATTCCTAGCTCCGGGCCTCCCGGAGGCCAGCCACTTCTTCCTCTTGGGTTCCTTGAGATACTTTCTACCCTTATGATAAATTTCCTTGGGGTCAGCAGGTGGCATGGTGGTTGGGCGCTGAACTCCCACATGGCTGAACATGGTTTGAGTCCCAGACCTGGCAGCTTGCTTTCTCATTTTCTCTCTCTCTCTGGTCAAATAATAATAATAATAATAATAATAAATTAATAAAATTAAATATTTTTTTAATTTTATTTATTGTCATTCTTTTATTTATTTATTTATTTTTATTGAAGTTGACCAGAGACAGAGAGAGAAGGAAAGTGAGAAAGCAAGCTGCCAGGTCCAGGACTTGAACCACAGTCAGCCATGTGGGAGTCCAGCCACCTTAACCATGACACCATCTGCTGGTCCCAATAATTCTTTAAAAATAAACAGATTTCCTTTTTTTTTCCCCTCCATTAGTTGAAAATGGAGAACAAAAAAGAATTTGGGCTTAAAAGCTATTAGCTTTTGGGGCCAGCAAGTGGATGGTGGTTAAGGGTGCTGGATTCCCACATGGCCAGCCACAGTCTGAGTCCCGGACCTGGCGGCTTGCTCTCTCACTTTCCCTCTCTCTATATATACATCCCTCTCTGGTCAAGTTAAGAGAAAGAAATAAAGTTAAATAAAATAACTCTAAACAAAAGAGAAAAGGAAGAAAGCAAGCATTGGCCTTCTCAGGATGCTCTGCATTTCAGCCCCCCGCCCGTGGCCTCACCTTCCCGGTCTCGCTCTTTCCAAGTAGCTCCTCTGAGCCATGCACTGTAGAAAGGCATTCCGTACACAAGGCTGGATGAGAATGTGCGTTCCAAGGAGGAAGAGCCCTCCGGGAGGTAAGAAGCCAGGACACTACTGCCAGCCCTTCCCTGCCAGCCTAGGGGACATTAGCTCTTCGCTCAGATTCAAGGTCAGAGCAGTCCTTCCTGGAAGGCCTGGACAAATGTGTGTCCTGTGGGGAAGGAAGGCACAAACACAGGGCCAACCAAGAGGCTGCTGCAGCTCTGGGGGGACACCTCCAAGGAGGGAGGGTGGACAGAGGTCACCTGCCTGTCCATGTATTGCCTGGGGCCGGCCCTGACTTTCTTCAGGGATGAAAGCTCTTTGTTGGGGCAGTAGGTGGTGTGGTGGTTGGGGTGCTGGACCTCTCACGGCTGACTGTGCAGTTCCAGCCCTGGACTCTGCAGCCTGAGAGTCCCACTGGACATGTGTGCGTGTGTGCCCAGTCCCAGTCTCAAGGCGGGAATGGAGAAGGGCTTGTGGCATGGCCATCCCCCACCCCCCCGCGGGTGATTTCTCACTTTCCCTTTCTGTCTCTCTGTCTCTTTCTGGCAAGTACACACACTATGGCAAAAATCTTTAAAAAAAAAAAAAAGAAAAGAAAAAGGTCATAAAGGTCAACTGAGTCACACAGGTACTAGGTGACAGGGCCAGGGTCACACAGCGTACTCACAGAGCTCACTGTCAGGTGGCATGCGCAGGGCCCTGGAGCGGGCATGGGGCGGCACTGAGCCGACGTTTCAGCCCTGTTCCCGGTGTCCGCTTTCAGCACCCCTAACTCCTTGCTGTTACCAAGGTCTCCCTATTGCTCTGAAGTGAGTTTCCAGACCCATCACCGAAGGGCACTGTGTAATTTGGGGTGGTGGGCAGTGACACCCCTTCCCGTCGTCTCCTGCAGAGACTGGTTGAAGTCTACCTGAGCCACTAGTCCCGCCCCTGACCCGTCTCTACCGCCTCCAGCCTTCATCCACAGTGACCTCTGCCCCCAGGTACCGGCACCTCAAGAACATTCAAGGAAGGTTCACAGAACTGCTACTGAAGGTCAAGTCCCAGGTGCCCACCGTGCATGGGAGGACAGCCACACACGGCGAGTCAGCGCCAGAGAACAGCACCCGTAACACGCGACCCACAGCCCACAGGGCAGGCCACAGCAGGCCGGAGAGCAATGAGGCCCAGCCCAAGGAGCCCAGCCGAGTGCCCAGCACTGCACACGCGGCCCCGCCTAACAGTCAGGAGACAGAGAAAACCACAGTGCACCTGCCGCCACCAACAGGGCGGGACACAGCCATGGCCCCTCACAGGACAGAAGTGACACCACGGGACACGAAGACAACCAAAGGGAGGGAGGGTCAGGACGGGAAGCCGATGGCTACGAGGCCGGGGCCAGGGCCGCGTCAGGACAAAGCGGCCACGTCGGCCAAGACACTCATTCCAGAAGGTCAGGACAGAACACTGACCACCCCAGGAGCAGTGCCAACAAGGGAGAAAAAGAGAGGACCGGCCAGGGCAGTCGTCCCACCCAAGGAGAAGGCCCAGACCACACCGCCCCCGGCTCCTTTCCAAAACCCCACCACCCAAAGGGGCCCATCACTGAAGGCTGCCAACTTCAAGTCCGAGCCCCACTGGGATTTTGAGGAAAAATACAGCTTGGACGTGGGGGGCCAGCAGACGGTGAGTTTTTCCTGAGCACCACCCTCCCGTCACCTCGCGGATCTGCCTGTAGTCTGCCTTGTCCCAGCCACGCTGATGCAGGCCCTCCTTCCTATGACGGCCAAGTGGGGCAGAAGGCAGGCCCAGCCCCTGCTCTGGACAGCGTGGCGGGGAGGAGGAGAGGGCCTGTCCTAGGGTCCCACTGAAGGCGGGAGGGTCTTCAATCCAGGGTGAGGGAGCTGGTCTGCTCTGGGGCTCAGCACCTGAGTCCTCATCCTCGGGTCAGGGTGAGGGTGTGGGCTAACAGACGAGAACACCCCTACCTCGCCCCCTGCCCTGGTCCCCAGGAACACAGTCGTCCCTGCATGTCAGTTCCACCACCGCCACTCCCGTCCAGCCCTGGGGGAGCCAGCCTGGGCCTAACCCCAGCACGCCGTCCTCCTCCCAGCCTTTGCACAGAGGGGCAGTGTTCAGACATGTGTGTTTACACATATGTAGCTGCAGCCACGCACTGACAGCACGCCGGATGCCAGAAAGACTCTTTCCTCTCACACGGGGTGCCTTTGCCCTGCAGGCTGAGACTGCCTGTTCCCCAAGCACCCCAGGACCTCAGTGGGCCACATGATGGCGTGGGAAGCTCTGCAGACCTGGGCCCAGGAGGGAGCGGGAGCAGAGGCAGCACCTTCCAAAGAGTGAGGCCTGCCCTCTGCCCCGGCACCCGCCAGCCCCGGCGTGGCCTGCAGAGCCCCTCCCTGCTGACTGAGCCCTCCTGCACGTAGACCTGCCCTGACTCCGTGAAGGTCAAAGCCTCTAAGTCGCCTTGGCTCCAGAATCTCTTTCTGCCCAACCTCACCCTCTTCCTGGACGCCCAACGCTTCAACCAGAGTGAGTGGGGCCGCCTGGAACACTTCCCGCCGCCCTTCGGCTTCATGGAGCTCAACTTCTCCCGTGAGTCCTCACCCAGGGGAGGCCGCTGGGTGGGCACCGGGACGAGGGCCAAGGGCACCTGGCACTCTGTCTCTGGGCTGCCGCTCCCCTGGGGCCAACAGACCAGGAGCAAACAATGGGCCAGACTCCTGTCCCTTCCAGGGCTCTGACCCCCACCCCCGTTGTCCCAGTGGTGCAGAAGGTCGTGACCCGCTTCCCACCCGTGCCGCAGCAGCAGCTCCTCTTGGCCAGCCGCCCTCCCGGGAGCGCCCCGTGCATCACCTGTGCCGTGGTGGGCAACGGGGGCATCCTGAACAACTCCCGGGTGGGCTCGGAGATAGACAGCCATGACCACGTGTTCCGGTAAGCCACCCACGCCACCCCACGCTCTCCTGTGGATTCAGGCTCTTCTCAGAGACCAACAAGGGCACCAGCAGGCTCCTGAGTCTAGAAGGCGGAAGGCCGGGGCTCCGTGAGAAGCTCAGCAGCTAACAGCCGCCCCACCTCTCCTCTGCCCTGCCTGCCTCCGCGCCTCACCTTGCTGCCCTGTCCCGTCCCTGTCCCATGCAGACTGAGCGGCGCCGTCCTCAAAGGCTACGAGGAGGACGTGGGCACTCGGACGACCTTCTACGGCTTCACCGCCTTCTCCCTGACCCAGTCGCTTCTCATCCTGGGCAACCGGGGTTTCCAGAATGTGCCTCTGGGGAAGGTGAGCCGAGGCCACGCGGGTCCTGGACAGGGGGACAGCTGGGAGATGAGCACCGTGTCTGGATGGAGTCTGAGATGGGCAGGGAGATGGCCAGGCCAGCCAGAGGAGAGCAAGTGGGCAGCCCGGAGTCAGCCCCGAGCCACCCCAGCCCGGGCCCTGCACGCAGGACTCCCGGACCACTCCTGTCCTTGGTCCCCAGGACATCCGCTACCTGCACTTCCTGGAAGGCACCCGGGACTACGAGTGGCTGGAAGCGCTGCTTCTCAACCAGACTCTGAAGAGAAACAGCCTTTTCTGGTTCAGGTACCCGGTGCCCTCCCTGCCCCACAGGCTGCCCTGTGCAGTGGGCAGCCGAAAAGGGCAGCCTTCATGTCACCTGGGGATGGGTCCCAGCCATGCCCATGACCCTAAACTGGCCTATAGCAGGCCAGGTAAGAGAATGGAGCCAAGTGACCCTTCTGGACCACAGGCGCAGGCCCCAGGAAGCTTTCCGGGAAGCCTTGCAGCTGGACAGGTACCTGTTGCTGCACCCCGACTTTCTCCGCTACATGAAGAACAGGTGAGAGTGGAAGGCACGTGGAGGGCCCGGTCCCTCCTGTCCTTACGGGCTCCTGACGGGGCCCCTCCTGTCCTTACGGGCTCATGACGGGGCATCTGGGCCCTTTCCTAGGTTTCTGAGGTCGAAGACCCTGGACACGGCTCACTGGAGGATATACCGCCCCACCACTGGGGCCCTCCTTCTGCTCACCGCCCTTCACCTCTGCGACCAGGTGAGGCGCTGCCTCAGGAGCAGGGGTGCCTGGAGAAACGGCTGAGGGTGTTCCTGGGCCCATGCCCGTGGTTCGGTGGCCAGTCTGGGTGCACACCAAAGGCAGGAGCAGGGAGTAGCCAAAGTGTGGTGTGCGTGAACCCCGGGCACCTGCTCCCAGGCCTCTAGAGATGGGACCCGGATAAAGAGACCATATACGGGACCAGCACTTGGCGTAATCGCTATGTTGCTGGACTCCTATGTAGCTGACCACGGTTCAAGTCCCAAACCCAGTGGCTTAAACTCACATCAGGTGCGTGTGCGTGTGTGCCCAAGATCTTGAGAGGAGAATAGAGAAGGGATTGCGATGCGGCCATCCCCCCAGGGAGTGATTTCTTGCTTTCTGTCTCTGTCTTTCTGGCAAGCGTACACGCCCTATAGCAAAAACCTCTCCAAAAAAAAAGAGAGAGACGACACACACATGCAGGCACGCACTGCAGCCCGGGAGGCAGCAGCCCCAGGCGGCTTCTCTTCCACCCTTCCCGCAGGTGAGCGCCTACGGCTTCATCACCGAGGGCCACGAGCGCTTCTCGGACCACTACTACGACAAGTCGTGGAAGCGGCTGATCTTCTACATCAACCACGACTTCAAGCTAGAGAAGGCGGTCTGGAAGCGGCTGCACGACGAGGGCATCATCCGGCTGTACCAGGGTTCCCAAACGGCCAGAACCGAGCGCCCCCTACAGCCTGGGCTGTAGCAGTGTCCTCACCCGCCCGGAGGCACCGGCGCGGCAGAATCCTGAGACGCATCTGCATCTGCGCATGTTCCCGGGACCCAGGCCAGGTTCCAAGCCCTTCCAGTACTTCCGAGGTAGCACTTGTAAAGAGCACAGGCTCCCTCAAGGTGGCAGGTGGTTCTCTGGGGCTGCAGAGTCTTTGGAAAGTTGCTGCGATTCCACGGGAGGTTCCTGCAAGGACGATTGTTAACTGAACAGGGCTATGAGTGGTCAGTACCAATTTTTCTGCTGAAAAGTACTCTTCACTGCCCGAAGCTACTTCATACAGAGGAAAGAGCCTGAACTAACGGACACAGGGATTTGGTTTGATTCCCAGCTCTCTGTCGGAAACCTCGCTGGGGATTGTCTAGACGACCCTCCCAGCGGGCTCTGGTTCTAAAGGGTCTGCACTTATCCTTGTCTTTGAACTATTCAACACTCCAGGAGTCACACAAAACTGATATGATACAAAGGATTCTTGTCCATGGAAATGCAAATAAGTTCTGTACATGGGGACCAGTAGATGGCATAGCAGTTACATCGCTGGACTCCCACATGGCCAACTGCAGTTCAAGTCCCGGACCCAGCAGCTTGGGACTCACACTGGGCATGCATATACATGTGCCCAGGAGCCCAGGAGAAGAGTAGAGGAGAAGGGATTGCAGCGCAGCCATCCCCGCTGGGGTGTGATTTCTCACTTCATTTCTGTGTCTCCAGTGAGTACATGCGCCCCATAGCAAAAATCTCTCTTTAAAAAAAAAATAAATAAATAAGTTCTGTACAATAAAATATGTTTACCTACCCCGTGGACAGTAACCAGTTTTGCGTTCCCAGTTGTCTATATGTGTCTCTTTTCTTTGGAGTCACCTTCGGACCAATTTTTACATTTAACTGCTCCTGCTTCTTTTATTAATTCTAACTAAAAATATTTTGACATTTGACCATTTCATATTTGTGTGAGAGTCATGATTGTACTTTTAAGAATTATTTTTGGGACCAGCAGGTGGTGTAATGGTTACATCGCTGGACTCCCACATGGTCGAGTCCTGGACCCAGAAGCTTGAAACTCATGCCAGGGGTGGGGGCCAGCAGGTGGCATGGTGCTTAAGGGCACTGGATTCCCACACGACTGAATGCAATTTAAGTCCCGGACCTGACAGCTTGCTTTCTCACTTTCCCTCTCTCTCTCTCTCTGGTCAAATTAGGACAAATAAATAATAAATAAAGTTAAATAAAAAAATTATTTAAAAAAAAACTCACACTGGATGCGTCTGTGAGTCTGTCTCTCCAGTGAGCAAGTGTGCCCTGTAGCAAAAATCTCTCTCTAAAAAAAGTTTATTTACGTTTATTATTATGTTTTTAAAATTTGCTATAGGGCAGGGCACATATACTCACTAGAAGGAGAAGAGAGAGAAAGTGAGACACAGAGACAAAGTGAGACAGCAAGCTGCCAGGTCTGGAACTCAAACCGTGGTCAGCCATGTGGGAGTCCAACTCCATAACCACCGCACCACCTGCCGGCCCCATGAGGGTACTTTTTAAAGAAGTCATCCTTAGGCCAGCCAAGGCCGCTGATCCCACATGGCCAACTGTGTGGTTTCAGTCCCAGACCACCTGTGGTGCATACGCATGCCCCAAATTCCCAAAATGAAGAAGGGATCCCGGCATGACCATAGGTGCAAGTGTCTTCTGGGAAAGCTTTTTTAAAAAGAAATCATCCTAGGGGGCCAGCAGGTGGCACGGTGGTTAAGGCACTGGACTCCCATGTGACTGGCCATGGTTTGAGTCCCAGAACTGACAGCTTCCTGTCTTTCTCTGTGTGTGTATCTCTTTGGTGAGCACATACATATTGTGGCAAATTACATAATAATAATAATAATAATGATAATGATAAACAAAAATTAAATAATTCTTTTTTTAAAAAATCATCCTCTAACATATCCTTAGGCTATAATTTTCTTCCTTTCTTTCTATCTTTCTTTCTTTTAGAGATTTTTTTCCTATAGGGCGCGTGCACTTGCCAGAGAAACAGAGACAGAGCGCAAGCAGCCAGGATGGCCAGAACCCCTTCTCCTCCACTCTCCCCTAGGGATCTTGGCCACCCTGGAGTGGGATCCAGACTCAAACCGCGGTTGACGACATGGGAGTCCAGCACCATAACCATTATGCCATCTGCTGGTTCCAAACCAAGGACTTTTTTGACTCACCTTCCTGTTCGAGCCTGTCTCCAGGATTTGGGACTCTGGGGCCCAGAAGAGCTCTAAGATCCTAAGCAGAAGAGCCCTGTGAGGAGTGGGAAATGAAAACAAGCCGACCGAGACCGTTTAGACCTACTGCTGAGGGTCCCCGCGGTCTGGGACTGGCTTCGCCTGGTAGCCAGGGAAAAAGGGACGAAGACGCGGAACCTGGCGCAAAGGACGCTGGAAGCTCCTGCCGCCCCGGGGCTGCTGTCCTGGGCGGGACTGGCGCGAGGCGGCTGAGCACAGCAGCCAGTGCGCTGGGACCAGTGGGGTCGGGGAGGTTGCCCTGGGGCAGCCTGGGCGCCGCTGAAGGTCAGATCTGCCAGGGGGCGCTCCTTTCCCCACGCTGTGCACCCTAGAGGCAGGCAAGAGGCCAGCGGACCTGGGACCCGCGGGCAGGGGCATCCTCAGCCTAAACCCAGCTTCTGAAGAGGCAGCAATAAATGCTCTCGCCCTCAAACCACCAGGCCGCACAGCTTTGGGTGGATGGGCATCGCATCTAGTGAGAGTGGGAGAGAAAATGAAAGGCCACGGTTACCCCCACATCAGCCTCCACAGATTTAGACTGGCGCTGCTTAAACTTAGAGGCTGAGCCTTGCTTAGAGTGTAATTTTGGATCCTGAGTGGAATGAACTATTGGGTTATTCGCCCTGGTGATACCAGCCAATAGAATGAAAAAAGAGAAACCAGGGGACCAGCAGATGGTGTAATGGCTAAGTCGCTGGACTCCACGTAGTGGACCACAGTTCAAGTCCCCAAAATCAGGAGAGGAGAATGCAGGAGAAGGGGTTGTGGGGTGGCCGTACCCCGCTTTTTCTCTTTGTCTCTCTGGCAAGCTCACACGCTTGTAAAAAACTTTTTTTTTTTTTTGAGAGGAAAAAGTAGTTTATAAGAACGGCAAGGCCATCGTGAAACGGGCAGCCCAGCTGGCCATCAGAGTCACCAATCCCAACGCCAGGCTGCGCAGTGAGAAAAACGAGTAGACGGCTCGTGTGCATGTTGTCTGTTTCTAAATAAAGCCACACCCCCCCCCCAAAAAAAATGCCATTTGAGTCCCAGACCCAGTGGCTTGAGCAACCTGCCAGGCGTATGCGTGTGCATAGGTGGATGCTTGTCCGAAATTCCAAAAGGAGGGAGAGATGGAGGAGGAGGGACCCACCATTCCCCACAGTGGTGTGTGTCCGGGCGTGCTTTCTCTTCTCCCTCTCCGTATTTTTCTGTCTCTCTCTGGCAAGTGCACACACCTTGCAGCACAAAAAAGAAAAAGAGAAAAGAAATAAAAGCTCGAAGAGAGGTCCAGTTCTATCAACTATTAAGAAGTTCTATTTAAAAATAAATATATATATATACATACTATAAAGTCACTGGGCAGGGCGGCCAGGTTGCATGGTGGTAGGGGTGCTGGACTCCCACATGGCCACCTGCAGGTCGAGTCCCAGACTTGGCAGCTTGGTTCTCACTTCCCTCTTCCTCTCTCTCTTCCTCTCTCTAGTGAGTACATGTATTCTATAGCAACACTAAAAAAGTAATAAGTAATAAAATGAAATAAATAATTCTTGTAAAAATTATTTAAAAAGTAAATAAATAGGAACTGGCAGGTGGCATGGTGGTTAAGGGTACTGGATTCCCATGTGGCCGACCACGGTTCGAGTCCTAGACCTGGCATATTCCCTCTTTCTCTCTCACTCCGTCCCTTTCTAGTCAAATTAAAATAAGATAAATAGGGACCAGCAGTTAGCGTAATGGCTATGTCACTGGACTCCCATGTAGTCGACTGCGGTTCAAGTCCCGGACCCGGGCACATGCTGGGCACGTGTGCGTGCGAGTCCAAGATCCCGAGAGGAGATTGGAGGAGAAGGGATTGCGGCATGACCATCCCCCCTGGGGGGTGATTTCTAGCTTTCTGTCTCTCTGTCTCTCTCTGTCTTTCTGGTGAGCACACGCACCCTATAGCAAAAACCTCTCCAAAAAAAAAAATAATAATAATAAATAAATAAAATGAATAAAGTTAAATAAAATATTAAAAAATAAGTAAAGTTGGGAACCAGCAGTTGGCGTAATGGCCATGTCACTGGACTCCCACGTAGTCGACCACGGTTTGCGTCCTGGACCCGGTGGCTTAAAACTCACACCGGGCGCGTGTGTGTGCGTGCCCAAGATCCCGAGAGGAGAATGGAGGAGAAGGGATTGCGGCGTGACCATCCCCCCTAGGGTGTGATTTCTCGCTTTCTGTCTCTATGTCTCTCTCTGTCTGTCTGGCGAGCGCACACACCCTATAGTGAAAACCTCTCCAAAAAAAAAATGTAAAAATAAGTAAAGTCTCTGGGCTGTCCCCATGTCTATTGGTTAAGGGGGCTGCTGACTGCCATGTGACTGACCACTGTTCAAGTCTCTTGGACCCAGCGGCTTAAAAAAACACACCAAGCATATGTGCGTGCATGCTCAAATTCGGACACAGAGAAGGGATCACAGCATGACCACGCCCCATCAGAGAGTGATTTTACCCTCTCTCTCTCTCTGGCGAGCACATGGGCCCTCTAGCAACTAGAAAAATTTTCTAGGGACCAGCAGATAGCATAACGACTACATCATTGGACTCCCAAGTAGTTGACTGTGGTTCAAGTCCCAGATCCGGGCGCATGTGCCTGTGTGGCCAAAATCCCGAGAGGAGAATGGAGAAGGTATTGTGGCATGGCCATCCCACCTGGGGGGTGATTTCTCGCTTTCTGTCTCTTTGTCTCTGTCATTCCAGTGAGCGCACACTCCCTATAGCAAAAACCTCTTAAAAAAAAAAAAATTCATGGGTGAGACCAGCAGGTAGCGTGGTGGTGAAGATGCTGGACTCTCACATGGCTGACAGTG